CATTGCATGCTTTGTGGAAAGGCAAGCGCGTTAAACTGCTCGGTTTTATAGAAATCCTGAAATGTTGCATGTAATTATTTGACCTCAAGTGTAAAGGTAACACATCCTACGTTAATCTACAAAACTGTGTAACTTGAAATACATGGCGAATTCAATAATCACAAATTAATATTGTTGGAGAAAAGACGTGGATACATATGAGGACATTGATGCTTTGTGTAAAGATAATGATTCAATTGAGGCGTCTTTTTGTCAGATCCTACACTGGTGCAATCCCCTTCCTGCAAATTTTGCTGCTGTCCATTTGATTCAAACCACGAGAGTTGCATGTGTTTTCACAAGGATTGCATCAAAAGCTGAACACATTGGCACGTTATTGAATAATTGGAACTGTAGTAAGAAATTACACTGTTTGAGTTGTGATGTGAAATAAGCTATTGTTTTCAAGCAGCTCACAGGTGTCGGAATGCTCATCTTTCGTGTCATGTTCTGTGTCAATGTAATACAGTAAACTTGTGTTATAACGAACTCGAAGGGTCCATGAATTTTTTTTCCATTATAACCATAGTTCATTGTACACATTTTGACAGAAATATACATAGAGTGACTGGGACAAAACATTCAGTTTGTTTTATTCATCAGTTTGTTGATAATAAACAAAATTTCATTTAATGCAAAAAATGCAAATGAAGAACTCTAGATTTTTTTCAGGTGTGCCTAGTGGTTAAAACATTTGCTTGTCTCCCTGAAGGCCCGGGTTCGATTCCCCAAATGGGTACAAAGTGTGAAGCCCATTTCTGGTGTCCCCCGCTGTGATATTGCTGGAATATTGCTGAAGTGGCGTAAAGCTCAGTTCACTCACTCACTCAATAAAAATGGAGTTATTTCTATCAAAATGATATATTTTCAGAGACTAAGCATGAGTCTGTTGCATTATGTAATACTGTCTGAATAAAACCACCAAGGTCATGTCGACATAGCCCAACGTTTTAATCAACATCTATCAACCCAAATCCTCAGGATTAATTACAAAGTAAATTGCTAATAACCAACCCCTAAACATTCTACACACACCAAGCAGTAACTGGTGAATCTGTGAACACCGCTCTGCTTTTCCCAGACCTAACATACTTAGTTAAACAATTAGCTGACACTGATGCAAAACCAACGTCAGTCTCCCACCTATTCAGTAGGTAATGGCTCTCCTAACTGGGATAGATTTTCAAATCACGACCACATTTACCACCAGTTGTCGTCCATTTGAGTTCACTGATGCTGAAAACTGGCTGGTGTGGCTCCATTGACTCAATGCAATATCCTAGCAGACTGACTAGAGCGGGCCTGGTTGTGAATAAACCCCACCAAAATAAGGGACACGTACTGTGCTGAAACCTTTTCTTTAATGTGTAATGGCTGTAATTTCAGAGTGGATGTACTTGTGTCTCCGATCTTATCACCACTCTTCTCATAATAATAAAAAGAAAAACAGAATTTAATTTGACATCAAAGGTTGATGATATGCACAAAATGTTCAAATTCTATCAATGTCCTGACATGGAAATAATTATCATTCAATGTCTAATGGCTGATGTGGTTTTGGTGAAAGTCTAAGAAGTTTGGAGATGATGGATGTGTAAGCGTGAAGAATCTCCCCGAGAATCACACCGACTGCTACGGTATATTCCATGGCCAGCTCATCTGATACTGTTCTGTTGGCTGCATCATCTGTTTCGAGGCTTATTTCCCCAGGGATCATCAAAAGTCAGTTAACCGATCAGTCCGCAACAGAACCTCCCCTCCAGGACTGCTAAAGCCAGCTCCTCCTCTAAACAAAGCCAACATGGGGCACAAACTGCTTTCTAACAACAATAAATATTTTCTTTGACACCGAAAACCTAATCATCCTGTAGCAGGAGAAAAATGGAAAAATTATTTCATGCTCTTAGATCAATCTGTTATGTGATATCTGCTCCCATTTGGGCTGTTATTCAGCAGTTGTTGTTTTTTGACTGTTGATTAAATTATATGGGATTTGGATGGAGAAGAGGACAGAAAACATTTGCATTTGTGAGCTTTTTGAATTCACATTGTGTTACATGGAAAGATAATTTCAGATCTATATGCTGTAGAGAAATTCCAGTGGTGACACAATTAGCAGTGTTGAAGATTCTTCATATGGTAATATGCTAACGATTTGTGCCAAAAGTCAGCATCCTCATCAGTTTAGTGATTGCATTGTGAGAAAAAGTGGAGGCGAATTGACAGGATTAATGGGAAGATTGACAGCAATTTTTCATTTTGTCTTTCATCTTTTTAGACTGTCTATCTATAATGTCTGTAACCGGCAAAAGGAATATTGACAATGTTAAATGATTATTTCTGCTTGTACAAGGCAGTATTAAACTGTTTGAGAGGCATTCTAGAAGTTGTAAGCAATAGGAATCCCAAGTCTTAATGGATGTTCATAAAGACTTGTCCCAAGGCAGTATTGTTTCAATATTAGACGATTCTTTCAGAATGTTTTATTGAGAAGGTGTCACTGATTTTGTCATGGAGAATATATACAGTATGTCTATGATAGTAAGTTTGGATGATAGTGGGTACCTCAAGAGTAGTGTGATGAGATGCTCGTGTTCAGTGCCTTCCATTTCTGGATTGTTCATTGTACACAGATAGCCCAGTTGTCTGAGGCAAAGCTGTGTACAGTCCGTTTGAGACAAAGTGATACTGATGAATTGCAATCCAACACAAAAACAAATAGACATGATTAAGAATCAAACCAACGTCAGTGCAATAAAAACAACAGACCAACTCTAGAAAAACATTATATATACATTTTTTGACACAAAAATAAAAAGTTGTTTCAGAAAGAAAACAATAGCACTTCCTTGACTTTTATTTGATGTGATGGTTTTCAAGTTTGTTACCAGATTGGTGGCATAAATGTCTTATACAATAATTAAGATGCAAATGCATTTTATTTCTAGTGTTGGTCTGTTGTTTTTATTGCACTCTGCGTTGGTTTGATTCTTTAATGTCTATTTGTTTTGTGTTAGATTGCAATTGATCGGTATCATTTTGTCTCAAACGGACTGTAGTACCTTAGAAATATTTCCACACTGGACACCAGAAATGGGCTTCACACCTTGTCGAATCGAACCCAGCATGATGAGCTTTAACCACTAGGCTACTCCACCGCCCGGCACTGAGAAGATTCGGTTCTTTAGCTACCCATGCTCGTCATCAGAGGCGACAAATAGGAGTGGCTCACTGACTTGGTTGATTATCCTTGCTGTCAGGGCATGATGACATGCTTTCATCAAGTCACGGAATCTGACCACCCAATCCATTTAGTTGCCAAAGCAGGTTCAGGCTGAGGGAGGCCATTTGTAGCCAGGAAATCTAGCCTTCATGGCACAGATACAAAATGCTAAGTTCTTGTGACATTTCCTTGTTGACTTCAACTTCAGCTATCTGGAATAAAGTTTTCTCTGTAGCAAATCATGTGACAAGTGAAAGTATAAACTAATTTTCTAACTATGGTTGTAATTATATTTTATGGAAATCTGAAACATCTTCATTGCTTCTTTGTGAAAAAATGGTGTTTTTTTGAAGAACTTAGAGTATTATTGTAACAGTAAATACAGTAAAGGAGTGAATACCTAAGAGAAGTATTCAAGCTTGGCACATTTCATTAGGTTTTACTTGTATTTGAGGACAGAAAAGACATAAAACTATCCTAATGGGGTTATGGAATGCTTACTGTCAGATATGGACTATTCACACCCTTGACAGCTGTGTGATAAAAATGATGTATTTGACCAGAGTGACTGATTCACCGAGTAGGTCGGGAGTTTCATTAAGAGCGGGAAATGATGATATACAAAGAGCTGTTCATTAGATGTAATCAGTCGTTGGGCCAATAGCATGGAAATTCAGGCCATAGAGGGGCACTGATAGAGAAATGGAGGGCCAAATGGCAGTGTTCATTTGGAATATCTGACATGGAATTGATGGAGAATGACGTATGACCAAGACCTAGTCTGTGTCATGCTGTTTGAAGTGTTTATTACCGTTTGAGGCTGTCATTGGTGATTGGTGGTGTTTTGGTAATGAAGAAGTTGGGTGATTGATAGATGGGCTAGCTAATTTTGTTTTGTGATTGAGAGTATAGGATCAGGTCATGTGCTATATCTTCCCATCTTTCAAGTGGTGGGACGCAGAAGGATATCTGTTATCTTGAGGTTGTAATGAACAGATGTTATTCTTGTAGGTGTTTTGTCCTTTTTAATGCAGTTTGACCAGATTCTTCAATTTTCACTCAGGTAGCTCCTGTATTTGAAAAGTGACCAAAATGTAAAAAGATTTGAGGTGACCATGTAAGATTTAGTGAACTGACAGTAATAAATGTTTGTCTTGATCCTCTTTGATATTTTAGAGGTTTGGCAAGAGTGATATTGATGGCATACAGTTTGACAACATCAATATGTGTTTTGTGAAAATGTCAGTGTGGTGGCTTTCACTCTGTCAGTGGATACAGAGATTGTGAAGTCAGTTGAATCATTGAATGAAATCCTGTAATCCAGATCCAGATCATAGTCATCATGTTGATTTTAAAAACATTTCATCTGATAATAACAAAAATCATGTAAAAATGATCAAAGATGAACGCTGGGCAAATTAATTTTAGTGTCTTCAAGAGGTATCATAGTCTTTCAGAAAACTCTAGTCATATCATGGTTTGAAATACGGATCTAAATGTCAGATAGATAATGAAAGGATATTTGTTTGATATACAAGAGAATCATATCAAGACAAGACATTATACATACATCATGAGAGGAATCGTAGTGATAAGTGCTTTGATATTCTGATATGTATGATAATATTACAAAAATATTATAGGGAGGATATTACTGATATAGCATGACAGCATTAATGAGAGAGGTCACATGACACATGACATATTATTGACATGTTGTTTTTGTTGTACATTGCAGGAAAGCTAACAGCGTTGTCTTCCCCGACACCATTGCTGTGACGATGCCCAACCTAATCCGCTTTGTGCTGCAGCACTCTACACAGAGTCTCCGAGTGGAGACAGCACTTGGCGTCTGCTCCAAAGCATGTATACAGAAAAACAGGGAATATGCTGTCAATGCTCGATATAGTCTACAGAAGAAACAGACACGCCTTCGACGGCGACTGAGCATGATAAATGCTGAATGGGAACATTTGAGCACGACTGCAAGGATGTTTCGAGAAATTTCCCAAAAGCATATCCACAGCGTTCTACAGCAGACGCGGAGGAACCTTCTGGTGGTTGATCAGCTTCAGCAATTCCTTCAGTCCAGCAATGGAGTTTACATTGAACATTCCAAACTGCGCCAGTTTATGTCCGATCATAAACTTCTTCAGGATATGGACCTCAAAGCTAGTTCATGATTAATCTTTGATATTTATATAACCTTTTATGTCAATTATCTGGTCGATGATAACATTGTTATTTACACTCCTGGCAAATATTCAGGGTTTTTAAAGTGATGACATCAGGTGTCTTTTACAATTGGAAATGTACACAGTGCATGGGGGTAATGTTGTTTTCTACTGTTGAACATTTTCAAAGTTGATTGATTGCACTAGGGGTAATGTTGTTTTCTACTGTTCAACATTTTCATAGTTGATTGATTGCCTGCCATAAGCATTTTAGAAAATAGGATACATTGTCAAAACTATTTTAGCGTCAGTAGACGTAGCACTATGCAGCAAAACAGCATTAGAAGTCACTTTATTTGGTTTGTGGAAGGTGAGTCAATATTTTTCCACATGGGATGTCTCATTTACAGTATGTCAGAGGCCGTTGTTATTCCTGTTTATAAAGTGATATCTGTTCTTTGTACAAGTGCAGGAGATAATGGATGTGTGCATGACTACCTGATGTGATCAGCCTGGAGTGTTTGTGCACTGTTTTGCTTCCAACTGATTTCATCACTAAATATTGTGGCTTGTGTTGTGTGATTTCAATATAATGTTTAACATTTTCAAGCAAAACTGAAACTCAGTTTTCCATAAAACTCCACATATTAATATTTTTCTAAAAAAAAACATAAAAAAATTATTTTCACTTTATTACAACTTTAAGTTTTGAAATATGTAATCAGCCTTGATTATCATGAATACCAGATACCATTGATTGTTAAAGCCAAGCAAATAATGTGCCTGGATCATTGAAGATTAGTTGTGCCACCAGTATCTTTTCAAACTGGGTAAGCATGTTCTACTCTGCTGTCCCACTGCCACCATGAGTGTGGATCAATAGAGGAGAAAAATTGATGACGCAGTTCAAAAGGAAGCTGTCCAAAATGAGACTGAAAGTCAGAGGTTCTTTTCATTGTTCAGTGTTGAAAATGTGATCAATTTGAAATACTGCATCAGAAAACCTGAAGGATGCAGGACCATATAATTTCTAATACTGCAATTAATGCTTTGTTATTGAAAACAAAGATGTGATTGAGTAAACAAATAAACTGTATTGATTGTGGTGTGTATTTTCCTGCAGTGACTTGGTGTATTCATCAGTGCAGGAGCCGCACAGTGTTTATATCTCCATCCATCGAATGGTAGCCATCGGGGCTTGCCACAGTCACTCTTAGCAAAGCTTCTGTATCCCGTGTTATAGGCAAATATTAAAATAGGCCACGATCCATCACTCCTCCTTGCTTTGGAATGAAATAGATTATGTGGTAATGACTGATTTTTTGTATTGTAAATCATACCATTTTGTCAGGTATTCGTACAGACCTTTTCATGTGTGTTTACAGAGCTACATCCAGGCCATCTAAGATTTTGTTGTTATTAAAGGTGGCCACTATTGTATGACATAAAACTGTCAGTGATAAGCGTTGCTGATGTGTTTACTGAATCCCAGGGTAAGCCTGATGGGCTGTTCATCACGGTAGGGGATGTCTCGACCACAGCACTCTGTCAGGCCTATTAGTTTATTACATCACATGTGAAGACTGATTTATGTTGTATATATCTGACCTGCATTCATCTTCCTGGTGCTCGGCTTGGGAGAAGCAGGATGGCTAACTTGATGAAGCTGTGATTTGAACAGTTTGGTATCACCCAGTGCATGAGTGAGTGAGTTAGTGCATGAGTGAGTGAGTGAGTGTCAGTGAGTAGTGATAGAGTGTGAGTTAATGATTGTGTGTTAGTGAGTGAACAAGATTGACTCCATGCTTCTTTAAGCAGTATTTCAGTTGATGTCATGGTAACCAAGTAATCCCAACTTAGTGCTGCTTGTATATTTAAACCATTTTCCCCAAACCGAAAACCCTGGATATGCTTTTAAAACCAAAATGTATTTAAATGAAGTTTGTTATAGCCAATCTAGAATTAAAACCTGAGGGTATGAGCGTCAACTAATTGTTGGCGATTGGTTTCAGCAGAGCAAGAGCAAACGCATCCGATTTAAGGCTAGAAAATGTTGGTGTAGTATTTCATAAGTGAGAATTGTGTTTGTACTTCTTTTGTTTCTTTGTGTGAATATGGTTGTATAAAGAAACTGTGCATATTGATATTAAAGGGAAATGTTGGCTAATGGTGTAATTGGTTTTATGGAGCTTGTTTTGTTGTCTTAGATTTGTGAACTGGCAGGTACATGGGATGAAAATTGGGATGAGGAAAGGGTTAATGCCATCATTGTTTGTTACTATACACTAATAATTTTACACACATTTGGTATACATTTTCTGTAAATTAAGTGAATTTTCTCCTGTAGTATTATTGTTGAGTATATAATGATTGCATATTTGTAAACAACAGAGATTGCTGATAAAAACCAGGAATGGAAACAAATAATTCAGGTAGATAACTAATCTAATGATAAAATGCAACCTGAATCGAAATGAATACATCAGGTTGACTAATTTATTGATATTGTCCCGATTTATAGTTTAATTATGTGAAATGGAATGCTTTGATTTAATATAATGTTAATGTTGCATTTTTGTGGGGAATCGATGTAAAGTTATACAGAATCAAAACATAAATGCCAGAGAAATATCAGTCTTACTTATCTGACAAACACAAATTTCTTGGGCAAGATGTGGTCAAAATCATATGAATAAATCACTGAAAATCAGTTGTGACACCAGGTGTTACCAAATGCATGAGCATATGTATCATGTTTCATGTATTATGTATCATGCATCATGTATCACCTATCATGTATCAGTGCCAGAGAAATATCATATCCTGAGAGCCTTTCAGTTATTGAAGTTGTGAAACATTGCGAGAGAATTATTATTATGATTAAAAATAGATGTAAGAAAATGCTCAGCAGTACCCACTTTGATGGACATTATGGTAAATAAAGATATTTAAGTTGCACCTATCTGCATTTGGAAATCTAATGTTCTTAAGCATATGTTCATAAATGTTTCTGCAACTTATATGGACAACTGACTTTGTACAATTCATGGCTACTTATTTAAAATTATGATTATTTGCCACTCAGGTATACAGTATCTATGTGTTTTCAGTATTTACAAATGCCGATTTCCAATTTCACAGAATGATTGTTAAACCTCACCAATGTCCATACTTCCATGTTTCAGTTGCCTAAATGACGTCATGATCATATCAACTTACCAGAGAGTGTTAGAAATCCTCCATATCGGATCTTACAATGTTTAACTTATATGTTATTGTGTTTGTGCTCTTTATTAATAGGTACATATGTTTACAGTGTTTCATGAATAAGTACACCTGTAATCTCCTCAATCTATCATGATGTATATAGAAAGGTGTTTGTTTGGCATGAAGAACCTGCAAGTCCTACAGTAGCTTCCTGTTATTGGAATGACACTGTTGACTCAAGTGTAGTGTGAATATACAAGTACATCTGTATTGTATCAGACGTAGTCTGGAGTTTTATTGGATGGATTGGCTCCGAAGGTGATGAGTATGATGGTTCTGGTAGATGAGTTATTATTATCATTGTTGTCCATTTTACCTCAGACGAAGGTGTCCATCTAGGTAACTGATGTCAAGACAGGAAGTAACATGGTTTCCATTATGGCGATTGTTCATAGCCTGTTTTACACATTTCATCTGACTTTAGTTCAACCGGAAGCAGAAGGACACGACTAGAAGTCATTTTGTTTTTATAACTGGTTCTTCTTGTAATTGAGTGGGATTGTGCTATGTAACTGCTTGTAAGATGAAAAAATATGTAATATATGGATGTATCCTGTTGAAGTATGTGTGTATGAAATTTCCAGCCAAATGTTTGAGAACCTGGTACACATATGTTATTACTTTTGACTTTTTGATCAGTTGTATATAGATTTGTAAATACTTGTGTGTATTTATGGACTTTGTGCTAATGAAAACAAAACCCATGTATAACTGAGTCTGATGAGTGTTTCCAAGTGCACTTGAGAATTTGAATTTTCAATTCGATTGTATTTTCGCAAAGTGCAACTCACGTGGCACTTAACACTTACTTCAGTGAAACCAAACTACCATGTCAATGAAACATGGCCAACCAAGTGGTGTATTGTAACAGGTTGTTGACTTTGAACCATTGCTTCATCAAAATGGTGTCCATTTTCTGGAGTTCACCGTCGTCACTGTTGATGCCTCTTGCATTAGTCAGACATACATTTGCACCACTTTACTCAGCACCTTTATTCTACAGTATGTTTAGTGCAGGACTGATACTCCAAGATACTTGACACTCCAGATTTGTCAGTATCTGGTACTACACGTAGCAGGTCTACACTTTCTGACTAAGATGTCTGTGACTTCCTTGACTGGCATTCTAGAAGTTGTGTAGATGAAGAATGAGGACTATTTTTATGGATATACAACTTCTTTATTCTGTGTAGAGGACGTTCCGACACAGATTCTAATGTCGTTGCTTTCTTGACAATGACATTAGATACTATGTCGTAACGTTGCCTATACAGAAAAAAGAAGTTGTATACCCATAAGATGTCCGTGGAAAGAATACTATTTTTCCATTCAGAATGTCAGATTGCACTTTTATAACCAGATTTATGTTTACTGCATTTGAAATAAGTTTTGTATTTTGCACATGGCATGCATACGTGATTTGTTATCACATGGTATTGTATTTTCATCATACATCTGAATTCCCTTATTCCTGGTAATTGCAGTCATACTATGTACATGATATTTTTGGAAGGAATGATGAAAATCAAAATGACAATATATATTCAGTGCGGCGAACTGGAGGAGGAATAAAACAGCTTTGCTAGTACAGGGTACATCAAGGAAGAAGCAAATACTAGTTTGTGTAACTACGTTTTACTTTGTAATTACAACAAACTTATCAAACAAATTACTCTGGTTCATGCACCAGATATGGTGATGTCACTCTGTGAATGAAAAAGTAGAAATGGGTTCAAGGTTCCTATTGTAATACAGTGGAGATATAATGAGTGAGTAAATGCTGCTTTAAGTTTCATCAGCAATTTTGCAGCTATTCGTGGCTAGGAGATATAATGCAGTGGGTATTAGAAGTATTGCTGCTTGAAGGAGGAGGAGGAACAGAGACAATTCTCTCTGTTAAGGAATGCTTTTTCTCCTTCAAGTCTTACCTCTCGATCGATTCAATATTTCTTGCTTCAGGTTTCACTGATGCAGTAAATTCTTCATGTGAAGCATATCTTTGTGCCCGAACAGAAAAAGGTCAGAAAAACTGCCATGTCATTAATTACTAATTACTCTTTAACTGATTGGTGTGGATGGGTTGCCTTTCTGGCACACCATTGCCAAGCAGTGCATCAAATATCAGCCATATGTGTTGAGGATGTGATGAATATATGGAAATGTTTCTTGGGGAAGAAAGTCATGAATAATTTACAATGTAAATTAATAAATTCTGCATTCTTATTTTCAAGCCAGTGTCTTGTTTATTTTTGGTGTTTTTAGGGTGTTTGAGTTGCCTGTAAACAGGCTGACACGAGCAGTGGAATATTTGAAGTGGAGCAAAACACAAATGCCTTGCCTGTATTGATCAGACTCTTTCTTCAAGTATATCAAGGATCATCACTGGATCACTGGATTGTGTGGTCCAGATTCGATTATTAACAGACCGCAGCCATATAGGTGGAATATTGTTGAGTGCGGCGTAAAACTAAACTCACTCACTCAGAGCTAGATCATAGACAATACGTTAATACTAGGTCAAGACAGAAGCACTGTGACCTGAAATGCACAGGTCAGACATAAGTATATATAGATATATCTTTGGTTAGTTGTCGGCTCGTGTCATCTGAAACTGTGCTGTGAACTCAAGTGCAATTATATTTAATGGTTTGAACAACTCTCACCCATGGTTCCATCTGAGATGACAGAGCTGTGTTAAGGAATCAATAAGACGGTTTGATTTTAATCACACTCAAACAACATTTACACTGTATAAACTACTTTTCTTCTAGATATAAATTAAAAAGAGTGTATGATTTGATTGGGTTGATGTTGACGCAAGTTGGTATTTTGTTTGATAATATAGTTGTTACTAAATGTAAACGAGGTGTTTCAACACTAACAGGTTCTGAAGTTTGTTTTGGTCGCTGCGGCCCACTTGTCGACCCTGTAATGGAATACACATTATAATAAAGTTCCTGCTGTTCTCATTGATTTTCACTGCGATTTAAGACGAGGGAAAACCCGATCCTTCCATGCTTAACGCTAACAGGCGTCAAACGGGGAAGTAAGTCTCAACTGTCTCTCGTTACAGTTCATCATGCTTAGCATTGAATCCCAAGCTACAGGATAGCATTTTCAGTATCACACTGATGAACCAGCTCTGATAGTTCACCGAACTTGACATGACACTCATTTCATGGCTGGCATTAAACAAAAGGTATATTGGACAAGTTTTTCATTTGTATACATGAGGTGCTATTTGTTTGAAGAAAAGTCGGGATTAGGAGGTGATACACCAAGCCCCTTTCCAAGCCTTAAAGGGGCGTTGGGGTAGCCTAGTGGTTAAGACATTCGCTCGTCACGCTGAAGACCCAGGTTCGATTCCCCACATAAGCACAATGCGTGAAGCCATTTCTGGGATCCCCCGCTGTGATATTGCTGGAATATTGCTAAAAGCAGCGTAATACTAAACTCACACACTCGTTGTGAGCAAACCAAGCCCCTTTCCAAGTCCCACACGGACAAACAAATGTGTGAGAGTCTAAATGTGTGAGAAGGCCTCCTTACGTGCATGCATGTGCATGGTGGTGGTGCGGTTGGTGACCAGAGTGATGTATTTACAGAGAGCCAGGGAGACACACTGAGTTAAGCCCCTTGACAGAACGACATGACTTTAATGGCTCGTATCCATCTTCGTGAGTGGTATCAAGGATTAATGAAGGCTTACTTGAGAACTCTGAACTGTCACACAGGAAGAAAGGATACTTTAGTTTTAGTGTCTTTTGTCTCTGAGTCATTGTCTCCAGTCCTTACATCATCGACAAGCTGGACAGAAATAACTAAAACTGCTTTTTCATCTTAAAAACGTAAAGAGGTATTTCATTAAGAGTCACTTGAATCTGCTGCAGCATCGTTAACTATAATAAAACTGTCGGGTTGTTATTGTGGCTGTGAGTGATTATTTGGGGTTGGATGGGCGACCTTCATTGATATATCTGAATGAAGAATAATTTTGTTGTAACTGAAGAAAGTGTCTCTCAATGCAGGCTTCTTTCATCACATATTGATAATGAGCACCTACCATGGAGAAGATTATAGATAGCCTCAATGCAAATGAGTTGCGGCAAAGACTGTATTATATCCAGAATGAAAGATGTGAGCAATTTTTCCCTGAAATATTCAAACCTTTCCCAATGTTGCCTTAAAGAAGAATAATATGTGAGTAATTTCAGTTAATGTTACACAGCTTCAGATTTTAAGCATTTTGCAGTAACTATTTCTTTTTCAGTTTATTTGTGTTTTAGAAACGGTGATGTTTTATGGAAACTATCAGAGCCTGATAAGTGAGATGTATACCAGTGTGAGTGAGTATGGGTGAGTGAGTATGAGTGAGTGAGTCAGCAA